TATTTTTTACAACCGTAGTAAAACATTGCGTGACAGAATTCTGGTGATTCAAATAGTGAATAGCCTGAGGACGTTCAAGAAATTTATAATATAATGTCTCATTCACTGGAACGTTAAGCCTTGTTCACAGAAATTCTTGCTTTAAAACGATGCACTGAAAAGCGAGGAAATAAAAACCTATTTTTTAACTTTACGCGATTTACTTCTTTTATGAAAATCTGATGCTGTTTTCAAACTCTAGAAGTAAAATGTTATTGTCGCAAACTTTTGTATTTTAAAATTGCATTAATATATTGTTTTATAAAATGAAATAAACCTAAACATACAAATAAAATAAATGTTTCGAAAGATGAAAGTTTTATTGTTTGACGAATTATCTAGTAATAGATATGTTGAACCCATGAATAAATTAATAAATCAATGTGTAATATCATTTTATCAAAAAAATCTATGAAGTAAAGGACTCTGAAAAAAATGAATGTATCAAAGCGTCAACCAATTGATCAACTTCAGTCAACGTTTCCCAAACTTTTCGAGGGTTCGAATCCCAGTTCCACCAAACATGCTCACTTTTTCAGCCGTGGGAGCGTTATAATGTGACGGATAATCCCACTATTCGTTGTTAAAAAACTAGCCCAAGAGTTGGCGGTGGGTGGTGATGACGAGTAGCATTCCCTCTAGTCTTTCACTGCTAAATTAGAGACGGCTAGCGCAGATAGCCCTCGAAAAGCTTTGCGAAAAATTCAAACCAAACCCAAACTTTTGTCATCCAAAAGTTAAGGGACGAGATGTAATACACAGATACGCATTAAAATGTGTTGTAGTAACTACTTATTATTTTCTATTCTAATGGCTCGCACTTTCTCACAAGATGATGTGTGCTTCCATGGGGAGCGCGCCCCCCACACTTTGATTAATATTAATATTTTAATTTTTGTTCTACATTTAAAAACGTGGAGCATAAGACCCTATGGATCACAGCTGGAGTGTAAAAAAAACAAGTACATCAACTTAGAATTCTATTAACTGCCTTTGATTTTCTTCGGTAATATCCTTTGCAGCCAAATACTTATTTAATTTTCTAGAATTTATTTCAAACATTCCGTCACAGTACAAACCATATTTGCATACGAACGGATGTAAGTAGTATAGTAATCCTTTGAGAAACCAGAATTTATAAAGGAATAAACTGTTAACATTATACAGTATAATAAAGCGTACTAAAATATTTTGTACTTAGTGAGATAATGCTTACACAGCTCAATAGGAAAAATGTGTAGCATATTATAGGAAAAGCATCAGAGCTACATTTTTTAAGTTACCATGTTAATAGAAATACAGAACATCATAGTAAAGCAGTCGGACTTGCGTCTTCAGAGGTATTATATTAATAGAACATCACAAGCAAGATAATCAGAGTTACGTCGTCAAAGTCGTTATACTAATATATGTAAAACATCACAGTAAAGTAGTCAGCCTTAGGTCTCCACAGTTATTGCGGTAATATAAGTATGTAATATCATAGCAGAATAGTCAGAGTTACATCTTCTCAATCTCTATGCTAATATAGGTGCGGAATATTACAGTAAAGTAATCAGAGTTACGTCTTCAGAGTCTTAATATTATAATATTACAAGTAGTCATAGCTACATCTTTAAAGTTACCATGTTAATATAGTGTAGAATAAAAGTAGAATAGCTAGTTAGTCTTCACAGACTCAATAGTAATTTATATGTAAAACATCGTAGTATAGTAATCAGATTAACACCTTTAAAGTTGTTTTATGTCTAAAACATTATAATGAGATAACCAGTTACGACTTTAAAGTTACTAAAACCAGTATAAAACAGCAAAAAAGTAATGTCATGTGAATTTTACCTTTTAAATAATGAAACTATCATAAGCTCAGAGCAGCACAATTAGGTCGTTATAGTAGTACTTGTAAATTATTATATCACTATAGTTTAAATACTGCATTTTATAAATTGTTTCGATTTGTGCATATACATATAAAAGCAGCCCTATTAAGAAAAATGAATAAAATCAGGCTTGTTATTTGGTGACTGGAAAATTCTAATGAAACAAACAAGAAAACTTTAGCATATGATGTGAAATAGTATTTGGCTTTTGTCACATAAATAAATACCCATGACACACACTTTCTAAAACACGCTTTTCAATCAACACGAAGCTTTCATTCAAAAGCAATTTTCTTTCTGTAGAGGAGTCAGGCGTGGCCCATAGTTGTAAACCTGCCAAGCTACGATATGAATGGTCCAAGTTCGCACCGTGATGCCATGTTCGCACGCAACACGTTCAGTAGTGTGTGCGTTTTAAACGTGAAAGTCAACAAATATCATTTAACTAGCTTATGAAAAAGTATTAATTATGGTATTTACGTCTAATGTTCTTGTCATGAATTAGTAACTGAACGTGTAGCGATGTATGGAACTTTTTGTCATGAAAAACCCACGGCTGCACACACACACAGAGTGAAAAACTCACGGCTGTACACACAGAGTGAAAAACCCACGGCTGTACACACAGAGATGTGTATTTTACACTGCAGACCCGCCTGAATTATATGTGTGTTATATTTTCATAACCACAAAATCCGTATAGAAATACATTAATATTTTCAATCTAAAGAAATACATTAAGCAATACATGAGCTAAACGGCCAAGTTATAGACACTCTAGAATTCAGGTATAGTCGTCTTTAATTTTGAACAACTAGCCAGATGAAAGGCAACTAGCTGGAGCAGCGCCACCACAAAGGTTTTCTTTGGGTCTGGGTCGGGCTTTAGATCCTTTCGTTGGTATCTGAGAGGGTCGGGTGCTTTCCAAGACCTCTTCCTCCCTCCAGCACAGTTGTTGTAACGTGCAAAGTACACCATCGTGTCTGCTAAATGCTAGACGAATTATATGCGGGGGTTGTGTTCCATTTACAGCCTTTAGTTACAACAACTCCTTTCATAGCCTTGCTCGTTCATATACTACGTGGCATTATATATCGTAATATACTTTTCTTAGCTTAGTGTCTATAGTCCTACACACTCTGTGTGTACAGCCGTGGGTTTTTCACTCGGTATGTTTCTTTCAATTTAAACAATGAGCGAATTCTGTGGTTGTGTGAGTTTTTGATAACTAACAACTCAAACACTACAGACTGGTATATTTGTAAATACATATTTTTATTTGTGACAAGAAGTCTGTGTTCACAAGTTTTTATTTTGTGTCGTCAAATTATTGGAAGTCTGGAGAAGCATTTAAAGCACATATTCTGGAGTGCTTTGGTCATCCCAATAATGTGCAAGACAAATGATAATACAAATATATACAACACTGTTCACATCGCAACTAGCTGACCACAACAGCACAAATTTCTGTTAGGCAACAACAGTGCAAAATGAAACTCTTACAGTTATGCGATTAAAACTAAGACTTGTCATTTAGTGCTCGAAAAAGTCCAGAGAAACAAACACTGGAAAACTAATCATGTAAGGAATTAATGTTGATATTGACATGTTTATAATCTAGATGTTTAACATTATATACATACCGACAGTCTGTATTTATCAATCTAAAATCTCATCACTATTTAACATACTTGCCTATTAAGGTTAATCCTACATATTTATCACGAATCATATAATGTATCTCTCTATAGTGAGACTTTTCACTTTATAAAAGCAATTTAAGAGAGAACTAACTGTGCATGTTTGTAAAAAAAAAAAAGACAAACATGTTTGAGAACACTAAAACAACACAGATTTTAGATCTAATGACACGTAGTTAACTTATTCAAATCAGAAACAATATTATATACTTTTAAAACATCTATTTTCAACAATATTTTAAAAGTTAATAAAAAATGATTTATTGTAGTTGTTATTCAAAAAAGCACAAAGCCACCTTCTAGATTGGCATTTTTACAGAAAATTCTTGTAATTTAAAGTTTACTTTCGTAACGTAAGACTAAGAAGAAAAATTATAGAAATACATATAGAAACTTTTTAACTCTGTGATAAGAAATGTAAAAAAAAAGTGAAATGTGCCACTAAAAC